TGGGGTATCAAGGTCTGGGGATTTCGGGGTGCAGGAGTGTCCAGATCTGGGGGTGTCCGGATCTGGGGGTGTCATTGCTTGGGGGTATCAAGTTCTGGGGGTTTAGAGTATCAAGGTCCGGGGGTTTCAAGGTGTGGGGGGGTCAGGATTTGGGGGTGTCAGGGGCTTGGGGTATCAAGGCCCGGGGGTTTTGGGGTGCGGGGTGTCGGATCTGGGGGTGTCAGGGGTTTGGGGTATCAAGGTCAGGGGGTTTCGGGGTGCGGGGTGTCGGATCTGGGGGTGACCCCGCACCCCGCGCGGCCGTGGCTCGGAGCGGGGCTCTCCCGCCGCTCCTCGCGCCGCTCGGGTGATTAATGAGGGCAATTAGGCCGATAATGGCTCTCCAGGCACCGATGGGTGATGGATGCTGCTGGGCCCTGGGTGGGCGCCATCGGAGCGAGGAGGGGGCTGTGACGTCACTGGCACCGCTGACGTCACGGGGGGAGGTGTGACATCACACGCTGACCCACCGCAGCCACGCGGGTCTGGCAGGGCCGGGGCTGCTCCGCCGTTATCGGGGGGACATGTCGCGATAGTGCATCCACTCCGGTGCCCCTTGGAGTGGCAGGAAGCTGCACGGGATTGCTCCGGGGCGGAATTAACCCATCCCGTTAATTAATTCTCCATTTATTCTCCGTTAATTCTCCGTTAATTCTCCGTTAATTCTCCCTTTAATTCTCGGCTCTTTTGTTTCCTGTTTGTTTTGCTTCACTCGGGATGAATTTTTTATGCAGCGCGCCAAAATCCCGTGGAGTTTCCAGCTCTGGAAGGAGCCAGCTCCAGGGGAAGGACCCAAGAGCAGCGAGGGTCACACTGGGGGGTCCTCCAAAAATTGGGGGGCACAGCTGGTGCCAGCCAGGGGGGCTGGAGGGGCTGGGGACTTGTAGGGGTGGGAGGATTCCCTAAAATTGTAGGGTTGGGAGGGCTCTGGGGTGGTTGTGACCTCGTCCCATGGGATGTGTGGGGCTGGGATGGGAACAGAGGGGATTTGGACTCGTTCCGTGGGGGTCAGGAGGGATTTGGAAGGGCAGGAACTTCACCCAAGGGTTTTGTGGATTGAGAAAGTCTGGGGGAGCTGGAATTCCATCCCAGAGCTGTGTGGATTCAGAGGGGTCTGGGGCAGCTGGAATTTCACCCAAGGGCTCTGTGGATCAAGAGGGATTTGGAAGGGCAGGAATTTCACCCCAGGGTTTTGTGGATCTGCAAGATCTGGAGCAGCTGTGAACTTCCATGGACCACTTGCAGAAGAGTTCTGGGGGGGTTGTGACCCCATCCCATGGGATGTGTGGGACTGGGATGGGAACAGAGGGATTTGGACTCGTTCCGTGGGGTCAGGAGGGATTTGGAAGGGCAGGAATTTCACCCCAGGGCTGTGTGGATCCAGAGGGGTCTGGGGGAGTTGGAATTTCACCCCAGGGTTTTGTGGATCAGGAAAAGTCTGGAGCAGCTGTGAACTTCCACCATGGACCACGAGCAGGAGAGTTCTGGGGGGGTTGTGACCCCGTCCCATGGGATGTGTGGGGCTGGGATGGGGACAGGGAGCTGTGGATTTGTCCCATGGGATGTCTGGGCTCTGGGAGGGCTCTGGGAATTTCATCCATGGATTGGGCCTGGGAGGGGTTTTGGGAGGGGCTGTGGATTTGATCCATGGATTTGTGTGGATCTGGAGGGATCCAAGGGGGCTCTGTGGACTTTTCCCACTGGATTTGTGGATTGGGAGGGATCCTGGGGGCTTTGAGGACTTTTCCCATCGGATTTGTGGATCAGGAGGGATCTGAAAGCTCTGTGTGGGTCTGGAGGGACCCTGCAGGGGGCTGTGGATTGGATCCATTGGATTTGTGCATCAGGAAGGATCCAGGGGGGCTCTGTGGACTTTTCCCACTGGATTTGTGGAATTGGAGGGATCCGGGGGGTTCTGTGGATTAGATCCATTGTCTCTGTGAATCTGGAGGGATCTGAAGGCTCTGTGGATTTGATCCGTGAAATGTGTGGATCAGGAGAGATCCTGGGGAGCTCTGTGGATTTTCCCACTGGATTTGTGGATCGGGAGGGAGCCGGGGGGGCTTTGGGGACTTTTCCCGTTGGATTTGTGGATCGGGAGGGAGCTGGGGAGGGCTCTGTGGATTTTCCCGTGGGATTTGTGGATCAGGAGGGATCTGAGGGCTCTGTGGATTTGATCCATTGCCTGTGTGGATCGGGAGGGAGCCGGGGGGGCCCCCCCCCCCAGCCCCCCCAGCGTGTGTGTGGCTCACGTGTGTGAGCACATGGATGCCGAGCAGGTGTGGCTGTGGCCGGGCACGTGTGTGTGCGGGTCCGTGGATGGGCACGTGTGTGTGCAAGGATGTGCCAGGATATCGGGGTGCCCCTCCCGGACCCTCGGGGTGCCCCTCCCGGACCCTCGGGGTGCCCCCCAGGCTCCTGGCAGCTCCCTTGATCCCTGATTTTTGTGGTCCTTGTCCCCTTTGTCTCGCCCACGTCTCTTGAGTCTTCTGGATTTTGGGGTGAGGGTCCCACCCAGACCCTTGGGTACACCCCTGGATCCCTAAATTTCATAATCAAGGTCTACCCAGACCCCTAGACCCTCCCCATAACGCCTGGATTTTGGGGTGAGTGTGGATCAGGAGGGAGCAGGAGGTGCTCTGTGGATTTTTTTCTGTGGGATTTGTGGATCGGGAGGGAGCCGGGGGGGCTCTGTGGATTTTCCTGTGGGATTTGTGGATCAGGAGAGAGCAGGGGGGGCTCTGTGCAGCCCGGGGGGGCTCTGTGCAGCCCGGGGGGGCTCTGTGCAGCCCGGGGGAGGCTCGGCGCCGCTGAGGAAGCCGTGCTCAGGTGCAGGCACGTTCATCCCGAGCCGCAGCATCTCCCATTAATGAAGCACTTCATCACGGCGCCGTGCCGGGGGGGGGCACCCAATTCCGGGTGATAAATTCCCGCCGACGGCCCCGGCTCCGCTCGCAGCCGCGCCGTGATCCTCCTTCATCTTGAATAATATTTTTGGAGAGGTTGTAAAATAACCCAACGCCGCAGCTGCCAGCAGAGATGAGGGCTCCAAACCCCCCACCCGCGACCCCGCCCACGTCTCTTGAGTCTTCTGGATTTTGGGGTGAGGGTCCCACCCAGACCCTTGGGTACACCCCTGGATCCCTAAATTTCATAATCAAGGTCTACCCAGACCCCTAGACCCTCCCCATAACGCCTGGATTTTGGGGTGAGTGTCCCACCCAGACATCTGGGTTCCCCTGAACCCCTGAATTTTGGGGTGAGGTTCCTCTAGACCCCTGGATCCCTAAATTTTGTGAAGATCTACCCAGAACCTTCCCCTGAACTTCTGGATTATGGAGTGAGGGTCCCCCCAGACCCCTGGATGACCCCTTGGATCCCTAAATTTTGTAGTGAAAGACTACCCAGACCCCTAGACCCTCCTCTAAACTCCTGGATTTTGGGGTGAGGGTCCCCTCAGACCCCTGGATCCTTGAATTTTGTGAAGGTCTACCCAGAACCCTCCACATAACTCCTGGATTTTGGGGTGAGGGTCCCACCCACACATCTGGGTTCCCCTAGACCCCTGAATTTTGGGATGAGGGTCATCCCCAGACCCCTGCCCCCACCTCAAGACCCTTCTGTCCCCCCATCCTGGGCACCTGAGTTCCTCCCAGACCACTGAATTTCGGGGTGAGGGCTCCCCCCAGACCACTGAGTCCCCCCTGAACCCCTGAATTTTGGGGTGCGTGTTCCTTCCCTGACCCCTAGGTCCCCCAGATGGGTTCTCATGAACCCTGGCGTGGGGGGCGGGGCTGCCCAGATGTGCACATCTGTGTGGCACACACATGTCCCCACACGTGCCCCAGGCTTGGCTGCTGCCATTCCTTCCTTCCCGGGAAGGATTTTTTGTGTTTTTCCCCCCAAAATGCTGACCCCAAACTCCACGTGGGCCAGGCTGGAGGAGAAGCTCCTGCGACACCTCCGTGCTGGTGTCACCCTCGGGGGGGTTGGAGCCCACCTTGGAGCCCCCCCAGGTCCCCATCACGGCTGCTCCTGAGAGCTCCTGAGAGCAGGAAAGCCCCGCAGGGAATTAAACTCTTAATTGCACTCATTAATGAGCCCTACTGGGGAGGGAATCCCGGGGGAGCTCCTGCAGAAAATGGGGGTCTGGGGGTGCAGGGTGGGAATGACAGGACTGGGGTCCCCCAAACCCTCAGCTCCCACCCCTCACACAGGTGGAAATCCCACGGATCCCTCACGCCCCCCTCTCTGTGCCCCCCTGGCCACCCTGGGCACAGGAAGGTGACAAAGGTGACAAAGGACACGCCAGCCATGCCCAGGGCAGGATGCTCCATCTCGGGGAGTGGCACTTAATCAATCACATCTCAAATCTTTAATTATATCACCCCGAGCCTTGGATGTGCCTCAGCCGGAGAAATTCCCCCCTTTGTCCCTCGGAAGTGGAAAGGGAGAGGGTGGGAGAGGGGAGCATCCCGTGGGGGGCTCCGAGACCCCCCAAAATCGAGGCTGACAGCTCAGGGGCTGTGCTGGCACTCACTGCACCCCCTCCTCAGCGAGGCTGAGGGGTCTCCATCCCCGCTGGGTCCATCCCGCCGCCCCCTCCTCCTTTGTTGGGCACTAATGGCCGCTCTCCATATGCACGGCAGCATCTGTTCCTGCCAGCGAGATTTGCATGGCTAAATGTAAATTGGGTGTTTTATCATTTATCATAAACGGGAGGGGGGAGCGGCCAAGCCCGGCCAAGTTGTCACCGGCAATCACACGGCTCATCCTTCGCCCCGCCACCTGCCCTGGGTGGGGAGGGACAGCGAGGCCGCCTGGGGACATCGGGGTGGGCTCAGCACTCCCCCAGAATCACCCCTGAGGTGAGAGGGTGAGGCGGGTGATGGATTTGGTGTCCGGCTTTCCGCTGCCTCCCCCGCTGGCCGTGTCCCCGGGATGTCCCCACCCGTCCCGTCCCTCCCAGCCCGGCCGCAGCGCCTCCCTCGCCTCCTGCCCACCCCTCCATCCTCGCTCGGACCTCGGAGCGCGGCGCAGCGATCCCACCCTGGCCATGAAGGGTCCCCTGAGCGGAGGGATGTTCTCCCGGCATGTCAAACGGCACCCCGGAGTGAGTCACGGAGCCCCCCCTTCCTCCAGGGACCCCCAATCCCTCCCCTGCGTTCTCCTCCTCCTCGTCCTCCCCTCGCAGCCCCCAGCCCTCAGGTTTGTCCTTGCCCACCACGTGCCTGGAGCCCCTGGCCTTCCTCACATCCTTCTCCCATCATCCCACTCCCCATTCCTCCTGTTCTGTGTCCTTCCTCAGCCTCCTCTTCTTCCTCCCTGTTCCCAAAAACCCTCCTCATCCCCCCAAATTCTGCATTGTTCCCCCTTCCCGCTGTCCCTCTGCTCTCCCAGGCTCCTCCGGCTGATCCGGGGGTCCTCAGGAGCCCCCTCTGTCCTTCAGCAAGGACAGGTGAGACCACCCGGTGCTCCCCACCCCTTTCCCTCCGTCCAGCGCTGCCGAGGGGCCGGGGCTCCTTCCCCGAGCCCGGCTGGGGCACCTCAGCTCTTACCCACGCCCCAACAGCTGAGGGGGCGAAGGGACCCTCCCCGTGTCCCTCCCCACCCTGTCTGGGGACATCTTTGTCAGGGAGGATGGAAATGAAGCCCCCTCCCCACTCCCCCCAGATCTGTCCTCGTCAGCCCTCAAAATGTCAAACTGAGGGCTTTGGGTAAAAACCCCTCAAACTGAGGGGTTTGTGTGGTTTTGGGTAAAAAATGCCTCAACCCCCAGGCTGGGCACTGCCAGGGGGTGCCAGCACCGTGGGCACGAGTGGCTGGGACCCCCAGGGTGCTTCCCACATCCTTGGATGAGGCTCCTGTGTGATCCTCCCTGCAGAACGGGGAAATTTGGGGTATTTCGGTCCCTGCCACCCTTTCCTCCCCCGAGGAGCCGTGAGGGATTTGGGGGGCACAAAGAAGACCCCAAACTGGAGCTGTAAAGGCACGGAGGGTCCTGGGTGCCTGCACCCAGCAATTTTTGGGTGTCACCCGCTCCACGCGGTGCCATCCGTCCGTCCGTCCATCCGTCCATCCCCCGCTGCCAGCCAGGTGTAGCCGGCCGGCAATGGCTCCTCAGCGTGCCCGGCTGCCTGGCAGCGACGGGTGGCACCGCGGCCGTGAGGCACCGGCAGCGCTGGCACCGCCAGAACCCGCTGGCGAGGCTCGGCGGGCACCGGAGCGGGCACCTGGGCAGAGCCTGGCACGGCGCCGCGCCTGGGGGAAATCGGGCTCCACCGCTGGCACCTGCGGCTTGGCAGCCTCGCCCTGCCCCTAATTGCTGCCAGCCATTAATTACCCAGCCGCTGTCGGCAGCAGATGGTGAGACGGCCCCGCTGCCCCGAATCGTCTCCAGCAGCCGCAGCAATTCCCGGCGCTGCGGAGAGTTCTGGATTCGCCAGCGCTCGGGCAGGGCTGCTGCCAGCTCCTGCTGGCACTCGGTGCCCATCAGCTGCTGATGGCCCTGACACCCCGCATGGGGCTGGCATCCGTCACTCCAGCCTGGTTTGGGCACTGCCGGGTGGGAACTGGGCCGTACTGGGAGCACTGGGAGAGGCTGGGCGCGGGGGCACATCTGTTTTTCCCCCTTTCCCCCCGCGTGGCAGCGAACAGATGGGTGGGACTGAGCCTTTCCATCACATTCTCCAGCTATGCCTCCCCGCCCGGTGTCAACCCAGTGGGGAAACTGAGTCACGGAGCATTTTGGGGGCATTTTCTCCGAGCTGCAGCTGCCGAGCTGCGAGCAGAGCCAGGTGCTGCCGGTGCAGCTCTGTGGGCAGCGCTGTCATTAATGGGCAGGACGCGGCTCCCTCCCGGGGGCACGGGGTGGCACCACTCTCATTTCACTCCCCGGAGCTGGGCCATACTGGGAGCACTGGGAGAGGCTGGCCAGGGGGATACCTCTGTTTTTCCCCCTTCCCTACGTGTGGATGTGCTTGGCAGCAAACAGATGGGTCGGACTGACCCTTTCCATCACATTTTCCAGCTATGCCCCCCCTCGCCCGGTGTCATCCCAGTGGGGAAACTGAGCCACGGAGCTGTGGGCGTTCATTTTGGGGATGTTTTCTCCCAGTTGCGAGCAGAGCCAGGTGCTGCCGGTGCAGCTCTGTGGGCAGCTCTCCCGTTAATGGGCAGGACGCGGTTCCCTCCCAGGGGCACGGGGCTGGCGCCGCTCTCATTTCGCTCCCCGCGTCCTCGCCGCGGCAATTTGGGGGAGGTCAAAGCCTCCTCGGCTCGGCTCCGATTGAGGCCGCGTCGCTCCGGGCACTGGGGGATTGGCAGAGCGAGCGGAGATGAGGAGATGGAGCCGAGGTGCGCTGGGAGCCGCCGTGGGCACGGAGCGGGGGGTGAGGGGACACGCTGGCAGGATGAGGGTGGGGAGTTGGGGTCACTGAGTGCCCCCCAGGACCCGCTTTGGACTCCCAGTGTGTCCCAGTCCATCCCAGTAAAAGGAACAGAAGCTCCTTGTCTCGTGCTCCATCAGGAATGGTGCAGAGGGGAGCAGAGCTGGGGGGGCCGTGGGGGGACAGGAACCCTGTCTGGGGTCACAGCTCGGGGACAGACCGTGCCCAGGGCTGAGTATCTCAGGGGGGAACCATGAGGCAAGGCTCAGCCCTGACTGGAGTCACTGGGAGCACTGGGAATGCTGGAAATGGGGTGTTCAGCACCAAATCCTTCAGGGAAGAAGCATAAACCGAGGTTTGCTCTGACCAGGGGCACTGGGAGCACTGGGAATGGGGTGCCCAGGTCCAAATCCTTCAGGAAGGAGCCACAAAGCGAGGCTCAGCCCTGAGTGGAGTCACTGGGAGCACTGGGAATGCTGGAAATGGGGTGTTCAGCACCAAATCCTTCAGGGAAGAAGCATAAACCGAGGTTTGCTCTGACCAGGGGCACTGGGAGCACTGGGAATGGGGTGCCCAGGACCAAATCCTTTAGGGAGGAGCCATAAATTGAGGCTCAGCCCCGAGCAGAGTCACTGGGAGCACTGGGAATGCTGGGATTGGGCTCCCCAGCTCCTCAGCAGCGCCAGCGCTGGGCAGCCACAGGCGGAGGGGAGGTGATTTCTCATTCCAAATCCAATTCCTCTCCAACACGAGCCGATTTTTCTCTCCCTCTTTTAATTCAGTCACTCAAGCTGACAGCTACACTGTGTACCACAGCCCAGCTACAGGATTGCTCTGCCATATTCCCCCTGTAAATCTCCCGGCGTGTCAGCTCTCCCTTTCACTCTCCAGTCCGCCTGATAAATATTCATTTTATTGGGGTATTTTTCATTTTTCTCACTCTCTCTCACTCTCTCTCTCTCTCTGCAGCTCGTTCCCCTCATTGGCTTCATCAGTGTGGGCCTGGGCAGTGCAGTCCTGTACCTGCTGCGCTTGGCGCTGTACAGCCCAGATGTCAGGTATGCCATGGGGCCACCTGTGGGGCACCCCTGGGGGTCACCCCACACCCCCAGAGCACAGGGGCTCAGCCCAGGGCTGGCAGCAGGTGCTGGCACACCCAGACACAGCTTGATGGTGAATGATGGGGGAAAATGTGGGTCCAGATGTGCCCAGGAAAGCTGGGAACAGGGCTGTGGGATCACAATGGATGGATGGTGAGCACATCCTGGGGTGACCAGGCTGGTTTTCCCACATCTCCCCACCTCATTTACCATTGTTTCCTCCCCCTAAAACCACTCCTGGATTTCATCTGGCACCAGATGAGCTCAGCTCCACAATTATCACATCCTGACACCTTAGCCTCGAGGGTGGAAGAGCAGGGGGGGGTTTTTGGGAGGGAACAACACCCCCAATCCCATCCCCCAAACCCATTTGACAGCTCCCGGGGCGTTGTGTTTGCAGCACAGCCCCCCCTCCCTCCCCAATCCACACACAAACATCTTCCCAGATGGAAAATTCTGCTCTTGGCCAGCACCAGTGAAGGGGGGGGGGGGGGGGGGGGATGGAAGAAGGAAGAAGGGGGGGCACCTCGAGCTGCTGTCCCCAGAGACCCCATCCCACGGCTCTGCTGCCTCCCACAGCCCCTCCCGGGCCAGGACGGGATGTGGCCAGCTTGGAAAGGCTTCAAGGACAACTGGGGACAGTGCTGGTGGGGCTGGGGGCACTCTGGGGGGCTCCAATGAGGTGTGGGGAAGGGTCTCTCCCCCTTTGATGTCCCTGTCACCCCTCACAGCTGGGACCGGAAGAATAATCCTGAGCCCTGGAACAAGCTGAGCCCCACAGACCAGTACAAAGTGAGCACTGGGTGAACTGGGAGGGCTGGGAGTGTTTGGGGAGGGGGAGGCAGCCACTTTTAATGTAAAACACTCAGGGTGGGGAAAGGGGGAGAGCAGAGCCCCCCTAAACGCTTGGATTTGGGGAAGGGGCACTGTGTGCCACCAAGGCCAGGCTACAGTGACACTGGACAGGCTGCAGTGACACTGGGGGTGGCAGCAAACTGGATCCTTTATGGATTTCCAGAACCTGGGAGGGGGCAGCAAACTGGATCCTTTAGGGTTTCCCAGGGGGCTGGCAGTGTTTGGGGCACATTTAGGGCAAAACACTCAGGAAGGGGAAAGGGGGATCAGCCCTGGAGCAGAGCCCCCCCCCCCCCAAAATCCTTGTGCTCAAATTTGGGCAAGGGGGCACTGTGTGACATTGTCAGGCTGCAGTGACACTGGACAGGCTGCAGTGACACTGGGGGGACAGCAAACTGGATCCTTTAGGGTTTCCCGGGGGGCTGGCAGTGTTTGGGGCACATTTAGGGCAAAACACTGAGTTTTCATCAGGAAGGGGAAAGGGGGATCAGCCCTGGAGCAGAACCCCCTAAATGCTTGAATTTGGGGAAGGGGCACCATATGCCACCAAGGCCAGGCTGCAGTGACACTGGGGGGACAGCAAACTGGATCCTTTAGGGTTTCCCTGAGGCCAGGGGCAGCAAACTGGATCCTTTAGGGTTTCCCAGAGGCCAGGGGCAGCAAACTGGATCCTTTAGGGTTTCCCAGAACCCAGAGGCAGCAAACTGGATCCTTTAGGGTTTCCCAGAGGCCAGGGACAGCAAACTGGATCCTTTAGGGTTTCCCAGAGGCCAGGGACAGCAAACTGGATCCTTTAGGGTTTCCCAGGAGGCCAGGGGCAGCAAACTGGATCCTTTAGGGTTTCCTAGGGCCCAGGGGCAGCAAACTGGATCCTTTAGGGTTTCCCAGAGGCCAGGGGCAGCAAACTGGATCCTTTAGGGTTTCCTAGGGCCCAGGGGCAGCAAACTGGATCCTTTAGGGTTTCCCAGAGGCCAGGGGCAGCAAACTGGATCCTTTAGGGTTTCCCAAGGTTCTGGCAGTGTTTGTGGGTCAGGCAGCCACTTTTAGGGCAAAACAGAAATGGGAAAGAGGGATCAGCCCTGTAGAAGAGCCTCCCAAGTGTTTGTGCTCGAATTTGGGGAAGGGGCACTGGACAGGAGGCCACGACCCCCCCGACCTCTCTTCCTCCCTCCCTTCTCCAGTTTCTGGCAGTTTCCACCGACTACAAGAACCTCAAAAAGGAGCGGCCCAGCTTCTGAGCCACCTCTGGGACGTGCTGGGGTGGAAGGGGAGCCCCCCACAGCCCCCCAAGCTCCACCACAGCTCCCCCAGCACCCCCAAACCATGTGCTCGTGTCCCACCCCCCAATAAAGCACATCCCTGGGGGTGCCCCCTCACCCTCACCTCGTGCCTGCATGAAACTCAGCACTGGAATAAATTACGGGGTGGGAGTGGGGGCAGCAAACTGGAACCGTGATGGAATTCCAGAACCTGGGAGGAGGCAGCAAACTGGATCTTTTAGAGTTTCCCAAAACCTGGGGACAGCAAACTGGATCCTTTGGGGTTTTCTAGGGGCTTGGGGGGGGGGACAGAACTGGATTCTTTATGGAATCCAAGAACGTGGAAGGGGGCACAGCAAACTGGATCTTTTATGGTTTCCCAGAGCCTGGGGTGGGGGGGACAGCAAACTGGATCCTTTAGGGTTTCCCAGGGCCCAGGGGCAGCAAACTGGATCCTTTAGGGTTTCCCAGAGGCCAGGGACAGCAAACTGGATCCTTTAGGGTTTCCCAGAGGCCAGGGGCAGCAAACTGGATCCTTTAGGGTTTCCTAGGGCCCAGGGGCAGCAAACTGGATCCTTTAGGGTTTCCCAAGGTTCTGGCAGTGTTTGTGGGTCAGGCAGACACTTTTAGGGCAAAACAGAAATGGGAAAGAGGGATCAGCCCTGTAGCAGAGCCTCCCAAGTGTTTGTGCTCGAATTTGGGGAAGGGGCACTGGACAGGAGGCCACGACCCCCCCGACCTCTCTTCCTCCCTCCCTTCTCCAGTTTCTGGCAGTTTCCACCGACTACAAGAACCTCAAAAAGGAGCGGCCCAGCTTCTGAGCCACCTCTGGGACGTGCTGGGGTGGAAGGGGAGCCCCCCACAGCCCCCCAAGCTCCACCACAGCTCCCCCAGCACCCCCAAACCATGTGCTCGTGTCCCACCCCCCAATAAAGCACATCCCTGGGGGTGCCCCCTCACCCTCACCTCGTGCCTGCATGAAACTCAGCACTGGAATAAATTACGGGGTGGGAGTGGGGGCAGCAAACTGGAACCGTGATGGAATTCCAGAACCTGGGAGGAGGCAGCAAACTGGATCTTTTAGAGTTTCCCAAAACCTGGGGACAGCAAACTGGATCCTTTGGGGTTTTCCAGAGTCTGGGGGCAGCAAACTGGATCCTTTGGGGTTTTCTAGGGGCTTGGGGGGGGGGACAGAACTGGATTCTTTATGGAATCCAAGAACGTGGAAGGGGGCACAGCAAACTGGATCTTTTATGGTTTCCCAGAGCCTGGGGTGGGGGGAGCAGCAAACTGGATCCTTTAGGGTTTCCCAGGGCGTGGGAGGGATCCTTTAGGGTTTTCCAGAGCCTGGGGAGGGGTGGGGGGCAGCAAACCTGGACCTTTTAGGGCTTCCCAGAGCCCAGGAGAAGCAAACTGGATCCTTTATGGTTTTCCAGAGCCTGGGGACAAAGCGGGGGGCAACAAACTGGATCCTTTAGAGTTTCCCAGAGCATGGGAGGGGACAGCACTGGATTCTTTATGGAATCCCAGAACCTGGAAGGGGGGGGTGGGGGTGGTCAGCAAACTGGATCCTTTAGAGTTTCCCAGAACCTGGAGGGGACAGCACCAGATCCTTTATGGAATCCCAGAACCTGGGAGGGGGCAACAAACTGGATCCCTGATGGTTTCCCAGAGCCTGGGAGGGGGCAACAAACTGGATCCCTGATGGTTTCCCAGAACCTGGGAACGGCAAACTGGATCCCTGATGGTTTCCCAGAGCCTGGGAACGGCAAACTGGATCCTTTAGGGTTTTCCAGAGCCTGGGGAGGGGACAGCACTGGATCCCTGATGGCTTCCCAGAGCCATTAACACGGGAGATGTCCTCACACCCCCCCGGGGGGGCTCACATCCCGCTGGAAGCAGGACAAGCCCTGGGCGCCGTTTCCGCTCTCTCACGCTCCAGGGTCCCCTCCCCGGCCCCTCTGGGGAGGGCAGGAGCTGGGAGGGGTGCAGGGGTCACACCCACACGTGGGAGGGATGTCCGGGATGCTCCTGCACCCTCTGGAGTACGTGACATGGGACAGAGCCCGGCTGGGCACCAGGAAGAGGAGGGGGAGGGTCCCCAGGCTGTCCCCCCACTGTACCCCACATGTTCCAGGGCTCAGCATCACCCCCCTGCCCTCAGAGCATCAGGAAAAGGAGGGGGAGGGTCCCCAGGCTGTCCCCCCACTGTACCCCACATGTTCCAGGGCTCAGCATCACCCCCCTGCCCTCAGAGCATCAGGAAAAGGAGGGGGAGGGTCCCCAGGCTGTCCCCCAACATGTTCCAGGGCTCAGCATCATCCCCCTGCCCTCAGAGCCCACTGGGGGTAGCACCAGCATGGGGACACTGAGGCACGAGAGCCTCGGAGCTGCTGGCACGGCACCGAGGGGCTCCAGGGACCCCTCCCCAACGCCCCCCTGCCCCCCACACAGCACCCACACAGCTCCAAAGCTCTGCCCCCACTTTTATTAGCAACCCCTCCCCGTAGAAAAGTGCAAGATGAGGCTGGAGCAAGCAGTGCCCCCCTCCCCAAGCAGGGTCTGGGGGGTCTCTGTACCCTAACACTGACAGCAGGATGGGCCCCCACCCCAGGGACACGGCACCCAAAGGTGACCACGGGGGACAAGGGCAGGGGGAAAGGCAGAGGGTGGGTCTGAGCCTCTCTGTGACCCCCCCAGAGTGAGCCCAGCCTGGCAGGAGGGCTGAGTGCTGGAGCAAGCAGTGCCCCCCACCCCAAGCAGGGTCTGGGGGGTCTCTGTACCCTGACAGCAGGATGGGCCCCCACCCCAGGAATGCAGGAGAGAAAAGGAGGGGGAAAGGCAGAGGGTGGGTCTGCGCCTCTCTGTGACCCCCCCCGGGTGAGCCCAGCCTGGCAGGGGGGCTGTGCCCCCCTCAGTGGTCGCTGAAGCCGGGCATGGGGAAGGCACGGGCGAAGGTCTCCACGCGCTGCCGCAGGTCGCTCAGGCGCCGCTGCGTCTCCGGGTCCTGCAGCAGGAAGGTCTTGAAGTCCTGGAGCTTACCTGGGGGTGGAGGGGCACAGGTGAGCCCCAGGGCAGCTCCAGCCCCCCCCAGGGGCTGGCAGCGGGCTGGGCAGCACGGCTGGCAGCTCATGGGGCTGAGGGGCAGCCAGGAAGGGGGAAATGGGGGACAGGGACCCCCGTGGCTCACTGGTTTTGCCACCTGGTCTGGGCAGCAGGGCTGGCAGCACAAGGGGAGAAGGGCTGAGGGGCACTCAGGAAAGGGGAAATGGGGGTACAGGGCCCCCCCGTGGCTCACTGGTTTTGCTCTTGACGTCCAAGGCCAGGGCGATGCCCTCGTCGATGAACTCCACGACCTTCTGGAAATCCTCCTCGCGGAAGTGGCGGGAGGTCAGCGCGGGGGCACCTGGGGACAGAGCCCGTCAGGGACAGCAGCGCTGGGGGGGCACCTGGCCCTCAAGGGGCGCCCTGGGTCCCAGCCATCCAAGGGGTCTCAGGGTCCCAGGCCCCCAAGGGGTCCCAGCTCCACAAGGAGCTCCCTCAGTCCCACCCCCTCACTGGAGGTCCCTCAGTCCCAGCCCCCCAAGGGGCTCTCTGATTCCCAGCCCCCCATGGAGGTCCCTGGGTCAGAGCCCTTCAAGGAGCTCCCTGAGTCCCCCAAGGGGCTCACAGAGTCCCAGCCCCACAAAGGAGCTGAGTCCCAGCCCCTCACTGGGGCTCCCTCATTCCCAGCCCCCCAGGGAACTCCCTCATTCCCAGCCCCTAAAAGGGCTCCCTCATTCCCAGCCCCCCAAGGGGCTCACAGAGTCCCAGCCCCACAAAGGAGCTGAGTCCCAGCCCCTCACTGGGGCTCCCTCATTCCCAGCCCCCCAGGGAACTCCCTCATTCCCAGCCCCCCAAGGGGCTCCCTCATTCCCAGCCCCCCAAGGGGTTCCCTCATTCCCAGCCCCCCAGGGAACTCCCTCATTCCCAATTCCCCAAGGGACTCCCTCATTCCCAGCTCCCCAAGGGGCTCCCTGGGTCCAAACCCCTCACCGTGCCTCCCCAAGGAGCTCCCCAAATTCTACTCCCCACAGGGTCCTGCCCCCTTTCCCAGCCAAACCCATCTCCAAATTCCCACTAAACAGAGAAGGGTGAAACAGAGCGGGGCTGCTGTGGGGTGAGGACCCCTGCTGTGGGGTGAGGATCCCTCACCGAGGCGCAGCCCCCCGGGTGTCAGGGCACTCCTGTCCCCTGGGCACGTGTTCTTGTTGGCCGTGATGGAGACGAGCTCCAGCACCCGCTCCGCCCGCGCCCCGTCGATGCCCTTGGGCCGCAGGTCCACCAGCACCAGGTGGTTGTCAGTGCCACCTGGGGAGCAAAGGAGAGGGGTGAGGGTCCCTGAGCACCCCCAGACCCCTCTGCTGCACCTTTCCTGCTCTGCAGTGCTGCCTGTTCTGCCTCATTCCCCCTCCTGTGCCCCCCAATCCTCCTGCACACCCCATTGCTGCCCTGAGACCGAGCAGGGCCGCTCGTCCCCACCACGGCTCACCCCTCCTTGTCCCCAAAACTGTGGGGTTAGAGCATCACCTGACACCAGGGCATGACTTGTCCCCAAAACTGGGGTTAGAGCATCACCTGACACCAGGGTGTACCTCATCCCCATCACGGCTCACCCCTCCTTGTCCCCAGTACGGCTCACCCCTCCTTGTCCCCAAAACTGTGGGGTTAGAGCATCACCTGACACCAGGGCATGACTTGTCCCCAAAACTGTGGGGTTAGAGCACCACCTGACACCAGGGTGTACCTCATCCCCACCATGGCTCACCCCTCCTTGTCCCCAGCACAGCTCACCCCTCCTTGTCTCCAAACCAGCAGGGCCAGAGCCTCACCTGACACCAGGGCATGCCTTGTCCCCAAAACAGTGGGGACAGAGCATCACCTCACATCAGGTTGTACCTTGTCCTCAACACAGCTCACCCCTCCTTGTCCCCAAAACTGTGTGGTCAGAGCATCACCTGACACCAGGGTGTACCTCATCCCCACCATGGCTCACCCCTCCTTGTCCCCAGCACAGCTCACCCCTCCTTGTCCCCAAAACAGTGGGGTCAGAGCATCACCTGACACCAGAGTGTTACCTTGTCCCCACCACACCTCACCTTTCCTTGTCCCCAAAACCAGCAGGATTGGAGCATCACCTGACACCAGGGTGTACCTGGCCCCCACCATGGTTCCAAAACCCCTCCTTGTCCCCAAAACCAGCAGGGACAGAGCCTCACCTGACACCAGGGTGTACATGGTCCCCACCATGGCTCTCCCCTCCTTGTCCCCATCACACCTCACCTTTCCTTGTCCACAAAACAGCAGGGCCAGAGCATCACCTCACACCAGGGCATGCCTTGTCCCCAAAACAGTGGGGACAGAGCATCACCTCACACCAGGGCATGCCTTGTCCCCACCACAGCTCCAAAACCCCTCCTTGTCTCCAAAACCAGCAGGATTGGATCATCACCTGACACCAGGGTGTACCTCATCCCCACCATGGCTCTCCCCTCCTTGTCCCCAAAACCAGCAGAATTGGAGCATCACCTGACAAGAGGGTGTACCTTGTCCCCAAAACAGCAGGGACAGAGCATCACCCCACACCAGGGTGTACCTGATCCCCACCATGGCTCTCCCCTCCTTGTCCCCACCACACCTCACCTTTCCTTGTCCCCAAAACAGTGGGGACAGAGCTTCACCTGACACCAGGATGTACCTTGTCCCCACCATGGCTCCAAAACCCCTCCTTGTCCCCAAACCAGCAGGGGCACAGCCTCACCTGACACCAGGATGTACCTTGTCCCCACCATGGCTCTCCCCTCCTTGTCCCCACCACACCTCACCTTTCCTTGTCCCCAAAACCAGCAGGATTGGAGCATCACCTGACACCAGGGTGTACCTGGCCCCCACCATGGTTCCAAAACCCCTCCTTGTCCCCAAAACCAGCAGAATTGGAGCATCACCTGACAAGAGGGTGTACCTTGTCCCCAAAACAGCAGGGACAGAGCATCACCCCACACCAGGGTGTACCTGATCCCCACCATGGCTCTCCCCTCCTTGTCCCCATCACACCTCACCTTTCCTTGTCCCCAAAACAGTGGGGACAGAGCTTCACCTGACACCAGGATGTACCTTGTCCCCACCATGGCTCCAAAACCCCTCCTTGTCCCCAAACCAGCAGGACCAGAGCCTCACCTGACACCAGGATGTACCTGGTCCCCACCATGGCTCTCCCCTCCTTGTCCCCACCACAGCTCACCCCTCCTCATCCCCAAAACCAGCAGGACCAGAGCCTCACCTGACACCAGGGTGTACCCCCGCTGCAGCAGCGCCTGTGCCATGGCCTTGGCGTTCCTCAGCACCTGCTGGCAGTACTCCCGGAAAGCCGGGGAGCTGGCCTGCCAGGGGAACACCCCGTCAGCACAGGGGGCACAGGGGGCACCCCCTGCCCCGAGCCCCCCACCCTGGCACACCTGTTTGAGGGCCACAGCCACGGCAGCAATGGCGTGGTTGTGGGGTCCCCCCTGCAGGGAGGGGAACACGGAGAAGTTGATCCTGTCCTCCAGGTCGTAGAGGGTCTCCTTGCCCGTCTTCTTATCCACGGAGCGCACGCCCTTGCGGTAGAAGATCAACCCCGACCTGGCGGCGAGAGACGCTGTCACCTGTCCCTCCCCAGGGTGACACCAGCCCCGTCCCCGCGGGCACAGGGCTCTCACCTGGCGCCACGCAGGGTCTTGTGCGTGGTGCTGGTGACAACGTCCGCGTGCTCGAAGGGCGACGGGATGGCCTTGGCGGCCACCAGCCCGCTGATGTGGGCCATGTCGGCCAGCAGGTAGGCCTTGACCTCGTCGCACACCTGGGGACACCAGCACGGTCACCTGCTGTCCCCAGAGCCCCCGTCCTCAGCCCCAGGAGCCCGCCCACGTACCCTTGTCGCCGTGGTATTTTCATGAAAATCCTTTCAGCTAGGATTTTTTTTCTCCTGAGAGGCCGAGGAGCCTCAGAGGAAAAGAAAAACAATAATGGCTGTGGAATGTGGTGAGAGATTGTTCACCAACAGGTGCGCCTTTGATTGGTCCACGTGAGGTGTTCCTGCTTAATGACCAAGCACGGTGCAGCTGCCTCGGGCTCTCAGAGAGCCAGGAGCTTTTGTTATCACTCCATTCCTTTCCTTTGGAGCTTTCTGTCTGTGTCATTTCTCTATTTCTTTTAGTACGGCATTATAATATAATGTAATAGAATATAATAATATATTTATAATGTATATTATATATACTTATATAAGTATATTATATTATATATAATTATAATATACTATATAATATATAACTATATATTATATATTATATAATATATAATATTTAATATATTGTTTTAATATCAGGTCAGTCAGAACAGGGACGGACAGACAGACAGGCAGGCAGGTCAGTCAGTACAGGGACAGACAGACAGACAGATTGGTCAGCCCAGTGACAGACAGACAGACAGATTGGTCAGCCCAGGGACAGACAGACAGGTCAGTCAGCCCAGGGACAGACAGACAGACAGACAGGTGAGTCAGCCCAGGGATGGACAGACAGACAGGCAGGTCAGTCAGCACAGGGACGGACAGACAGATTGGTCACTCCAGGAAGGGACAGACGGACAGGTCAGTCAGTCCAAGGACAGACAGGCAGATTGGTCACTCCAGGAAGGGACAGACAGGCAGACACGTCAGTCAGTCCAGGGGATGGCTGTGAGGGACGGACAGAGAGGAGAGCTGGGCCAGTTAGCCCAGAAATGGACAGCCAGCCTGGTCATGCTGGGAATGGTCAGACGGACAGACAGACAGACAGTGGAGGAACCCCTTTGCCCTGAGCACAGCACCTGAGCCCTGGGCACCTCCCTTGGCACTGGGACACCTCAGGGACACCCTGGGGACACCTCGGGCACACCCTGAGGGCACCCTGGGGACACCCTGGGGATACCTCGGAGACACCCTAAGGAAAGCTTGGGGACACCCTGGGGACACCTCAGGGACACCTTGGGGACACCCTGGGGACACCTCGGGCACACCCTGGGGATATCCTGGGGGACACCTTAAAGGCACCTCAGGGGGACACCTTGGGGACACCCTGGGGACACCCTCCGGGACACCCTGGGGACACCCTGGGGACACTTGAGGGACACCCTGGAGATATCTCAGGGATACCCTGGGGACACCTTAAAGGCATCCTGGGGACACCTCGGGGACACCCTAAGGACACCTCGGGGACACCTTGGGGGGACACCTCGGGGGGACCCTGGGGACACCCTGGGGACACTTGAGGGACACCCTGGGGATATCTCAGGGACACCCTGGGGACACCTCGGGGACACCCTGGGACACCTCAGACCCTCCCTGCCCGCAGCTCACATCAAGCTTGTAGGGCATGGACTCGAAGAAGATGGAGGTGGCCGAGATCCTCTTGGTGTCGGTCATGTAACCGTGGGTGAGGCTGCGGGGGAGGCACAGGGTGAGGATAAAATGTTCCCAAAATCAGGGGATGTTCAGGATACTCAGGGGGGCTGGAAAGAAAGGTTGGACCTGGGAAAATGTTATTTACTGGATAATGCAAAACTGTATAATCAGTTAATGATAAACGGTATGATTGATAAATTATATGATTGATAAATGATATGATTGTTAAATGCCATGATTGCGTGGTAATTAGATACAGTTATTGTTTAATTGTAACAAGAATCATGAGAAACTATGTTTGGGAGGTTTGATATTATAGGGATAAAATGTTCCTAAAATCACAGGATATTCAGGATATTCAAGGGGGTTGGAAAAAAAGATTGGACCTGGGAAAATGTTATTTACATCATCCTTTACTGGATGATGCAAAACTGTATAATCATTGATTGATAAATGATGTGATTGATAAATGATAAGATCATACAACCTGTATAATCATTTAATGATAAATGATATGATTGTTTGGTAATTGGATATAGTTATTGTTTAATTGTAGCAAGAATCATGAGAAATTATGTTTGGGGGTTTGATATTGTAGGGATAAAATGTTCCTAAAATCACAGGATGTTCAGGGGAGTTGGAAAGAAAGGCTGGGCCTGGGAAAATGTTATTTACTGGATGATGCAAAACTGTATAATCATTGATTGATAAATGATATGATTGATAAATGATATGATTGTTACATGCCATGATTGTTTGGTAATTAGATATAGTTCCGATCTGATTGTTTCTCCTGTGGTTGGCTGCTTTGGGATGTGGTCTGGAGTGCGTTTACCAACAGGTGAATGTTTGATTGGTTCCATGTGAGTTGGTTTTTTCTTAATGACCAATCACCATCAGCTATGTCAGACTCCGAGGAGTCAGTCACGAGTTTTTATTATTCATTCTTGTTAAGCTTTCTGATGTGTCCTTTTTCTATGGTTTAGTATAGCTTTAGCACAGCATTCTATATTTAATATAATTTAATATATCTTAAATTATATAAATTAAATAAATTATATATGTTAAATTATATATTATTAATGTATAAAAATATACTATAATTTACTATAATATACTATACAATATTACAATATGATATAACATAATAATAATAATAATAATAAATCAGCCTTCTAAGCACATGGAGTCAGATTCATCTCTTCCCTTGTCCTGGAGACCCCCACAAACACCACACACGGGGTCACCAAGGGGTCCCTGCTGCCAGCCTGACCCCAAGGGAGACTTGGCACAGAGGGCAGCCCCCAGTGATGCCTCAGGTTTTAGATTTTCTATGTTTTTTCAGATTCTGTGCTGGCTTGGTGTGATGTCTCAGGTTTTAGTTTTTCTGTTTCAGATTCTGTGCTGGCTTAATGTGATGTCTCAGGTTTTAGTTTTTATATGTTTCAGGTTCTGTGCTGGTTTAGGCTGTGGTTCTGAGATTCATGGTATATACCTCAGGTTTTAGTTTTTATGTGTTTCAGGTTCTGTGCTGGTTTAGGCTGTGGTTCTGAGATTCATGGTAAATACCTCAGGTTTTAGTTTTTATGTGTTTCAGGTTCTGTGCTGGTTTAGGCTGTGGTTCTGAGATTCATGGTAAATACCTCAGGTTTTAGTTTTTATATGTTTCAGGTTCTGTGCTGGTTTAGGCTGTGGTTCTGAGATTCATGGTAAATACCTCAGGTTTTAGTTTTTATATGTTTCAGGTTCTGTGCTGCTTTACTCTGTGGGTCTGGGTTTTATGTTAGGGGATGGTGAGCTCTCTTCACAGAGCAGGGAGACAAAACAATTCCTGCTCTAGCTGGGGACCAAGGACAAATGATCCAAATCTCAGCCCCAAGAGCACAAACCCCGTGGGATGAAGAGAGAAAAACAACGAGGATGGGACCTCACAACCTAAAGGTATAATTGGACAATTAACTCCAATATACAAATGGAGCAGAACTTGAAAAAGTGAGAGACCTTGTGATCAGGCATCCATTTTTGTGACCATTTTGGGTTCATTTTGGGTTAATTTTGTGACTGCTTTGGGCTCGTTCATTTTGTGACCGTTTTGGGTTAATTTTGTGACCGTTTTGGGTTCATTTCGGGTTCGTTTTGTGACTGTTTTGGGCTCGTTCATTTTGTGACCGTTTTGGGTTAATTTTGTGACCGTTTTGGGTTCATTTCGGGTTCGTTTTGTGACCATTTTGGATTCATTTTGTGACCGTTTTGGGTTCATTTCGGGTTCGTTTTGTGACCATTTTGGGCTCATCTTGGGTTCATTTTATGACCGTTTTGGGTTCGTTTTGTGACCATTTTGGGTTCACCTTGGGTGTAGCCCTGGCTGGGCTCTTGTGCTGCCCAAGGTGGATCTGTTGAGGCCTCCTGATCAATCCCTATTTATTCCTTAGCTCCGTCCTAGGACAACCTCCACACTGGGGAGCCCCCAGTCCTTCCCTGGGGCTCCCTGGATGTCTCCTGCAGCTGAACCCCAGTGCCCCCCAGCCCACTCCCCACTTTACCTCTTCCCAGGATACCCCTCCGAGTATTTGTTGTTGAGGCAGGAGCCCAGGGCCTCCAGCGCTGCCCGGCTGCAGAAATTCTGGGGGGACAAAGGTGGATGGGAATCAGAGCAGCCAAAACCCCCTAAACAGCCAAAACCCCCTAAACCCCTGGGGGTCCCCCAGGCCTGACCCCATCCCTGCCCAAACCCCCCTAAACAGGGGTCCCCCAGGCCTGACCCCACCCCGTGGGCACTGGGCAGGGGCGAAGGCTGGTGGCAGTGGCTGTGCCAGCCCTGGGGACTTTGGGATGGACAGGGGGGAGGGAGAACACACCACACCGGGATGGGGGTCCTGGTGCCCAGCCAGGGTGAGGAGGAGGAGTGGGATGGAACTGAGACCCCCAGGGATGACTGAGACTGGGGGAGGGGTACATAGGGGGAGAATGGGGGCACCAGGACACCCCCAGTGGGGACCAGGACATGGGTGGGAATCAGAGCAGCCAATCCCCCCTAAACAGGGGGTCCCCCAAGCCCAACCCTGCCCAAACCCCCCCAAACAGGGGTCCCCCAAGCCTGACCCCACCCCTGCCCAATCCCCCTAACCAGAGATCCCCCAATCCCAATCCAAATCCCACCCCTGCCCAATCCCCCCCAAACAGGGATCCCCCAACCCCACCCCTGCCCAAACTCCCTAACCAGGGATCCCCCAATCCCAATCCCCCCCCTGCCCAAACCCCCCC